AGCCAGGGCCCCAGGAGTCAAACCTCCCTCAGCCAGGGCCCCAGGAGCAGCTCCATGTGTGCAACCCCAGCAGTGACGGAGCAGCTCCCGGTGCCCCCCCTGCGGAACCCGCTGGGAGCTGCCCCAGGGCACAGCCCCGTGCAGGGCACAGAGCAGCCAGGGGACAGTCCTGGAGTGCCAGGGCACAGTCCTGGAGCCCCAGGGCACAGAGCAGCCAGGGGACAGTCCTGGAGTGCCAGGGGACAGTCCTGGATCACCACCCACGGCACAGCCACAGCGGGGGAGGCTCCAGCTCCCAGCCAGGGATCATTCCCAGTGCCCAGCTCCGGGAACAGCCCATCCTGCCCTGCAGTCCCACACGCAGCTGTGGCTCCAGCAGCCCCTGCCAAACGCAGCTCCACGGCCCAGGCAGGGCCACAACAACCTCCTGTAAGTTGGACAAACAGCAGCTGATACCTGCAGGAAATGACCCACTTCCCACTGGGCAGAAAGATTCAGATTTGGGTAGGTGGTGTTTTGTTTTTGCCAGTCACAATAAACTTCTGAGGAAGAAAACCAAGTTTTCAGGAGTTTTCTAGGAACAGCAGGTGAGTTCTACATTTCATTTCATACAGAATTAATCCTGCAAGCATTAATTAAAACTTGGGGGTTTCTTGGTAATTGGAGAGAATAATCTCTGAATCCCTGAGTAAGCCTTGAAAGTAAATAATGTTGAACTGACTGCAAATTGCACAGTTTAAGAGTCTTCACTTGGACATGAAATGAACTAATTGTCTCTTGATCGTTATATGAACACAAGCCTATCTTCTATTTAATAAAAATTAATTCACCAAGATCACTAAAACAAGAATTGCACATGTTGAATTGATTTCCAATACAACAGAAAAATACCAAGAGGTTGGGAAGTGCTGTTTTATTTTAGTGGCAGTAGAAAGTTTTAGCTTTTAAAATAAAAATGCCCCCAAACAGCAGCAAGCTGATACCAATGATTCAGCAAAAGGAGGGGGTTGTACTGCATTACAGGGCTCTGGGGTTGCTGTGACATAGAACCCCTGGAGGGACTATCACAGACTGACACAGCAGGTACCTTGGGCCAAAGAAATTACTGAAACCCCTTGCAGTATCTCCAAAGAAATATCCATACACAGATCTATAAAGTAGGCAAACCAAACAAAAGTTTCCTCCCCTCTCCCTCACTTTAGGTTTCTTCTCTTTAAAAAAAGGTTATTTTTCATGGGTGGATGTCTTTTCTCCATTATTTAAAAAAAAAACAACGAAAAAAGACAAATAAACAAAAAAAAACAAATTAAAAAACCCCAACCAAACAAAAAAAACAAACAACCAAAAAAAGAGAAGAAAATTAGTTTGACCAGCAAAGTCCACACCCCGTTTCCCTCCACTGAAGCTGCAGATGCTGGCACAAACACCACACGGGGATTCATAAGGCCCAGACCTTCTAAATTGCTGGGACATGAACACCTTGACAGTCCACCCACAGACTTTGGGATTACACCTTAACAGCCCACCAACTGACTTTGGGATTACACTTTAACAGCCCACCAACAGACTTTGGGATTACACCTTAACAGCCCACCAACAGACTTTGGGATAACACCTTGACAGTCCACCCACAGACTTTGGGATTACACCTCAGCAAAGCCTTTCTGGGAGCTCTGTGCCACAGTGCTCAGTCAGCACTGCAAACCCACACGATTCCAAGAGCTGAGTTTGAAAAAGCCCTGGAACACAGAACAGGCACAGGTGTACAGGACCCAGACACTGTCACACTTGCTCAGGCCATCCAGAGGCTGAAACACAAAGCCTCTGATTCGTTAACCACACCTTCTTTAATTTCTGGTTTTCTATTTCTAATCTACCTTCAGAGAGCACGAAGGTAAGGGCAGGCAGGGGAAAGTTTTCTGGCAATTTCTTTCTGATCCAGCACATTATCCACAGATAACCATTTTATAAAGTTCATCAAATCTAATACACGCCAAGGGACACCTCCTGTTTTAATTGCCAACTACAGGAACCTCTGAGTCCTCCCATTACAACCAAAAATTACAAGTCCACTTACTTGTCAGTTTGAAGTTTCTCCAGCCAAGTCCAGAGGAGCAGTCGCAGGAACTCCAGAACTGTTGCTCTCCAGCAAATTTAACATCCAGTGCAAGGGGTGAGCTTGTCCAACTCAGCAGAGCCAGTTCTGAAGAGCTCACCACACAGAGAACCACTTTAGACTGAAAAACTGTTAGAAAGGTCCCCCTCCCAGCTGATCTTAGTTCAGGCTTGTTACCTTCCAATGGGGCCTGAACACCTGTGAAACTCTCAGTCCTGTTTCTACAGCCTGGAGATGAATAATTCCTCTTTCCATGCTTTTGATAAATAACGCTGC